CGATGATCCATATTGATATCCCTTCGATATCCTCTTTCGTCGTCGTCATCATCTCGCGATCTTCTACGATTTCGATTGTAACGAGATCGATTTATTTCAGGTGAGTACTGCCGACTTTCCGACAAACCATTCCCTTTCGCTGAACGCTTCTCTCTGCAAGAGAAAAAAAATTATGAAAATCGTTTCGTGACTGATATGCATACTGACACGTATAGGATGTGGTTGCAGTACTACCTTTGGCGATGGTCTCCAATAATTTCACTAAACACTGATATAAAAATCTCATCACTCGACACATCCCCAATTCATTGAAGTCATTATTTTGAGAGTATTAAACAACATTTTCTAGCAGAAGCATTTGAAGTAACATTCTTTCACGTTTGATGATTTCTATAATAGTTCGCGGTAACATTATAACGAATGATAAAATAATACATTCTCTCATGTTGACGACGACGATGATGAGTGTGTGATCCTTCGGCAGTTTTCTGGCGATGGCGTGGTGGACTGCGAGAACGATCATTTGATAGCGACGAACTTAAAATAATTCGGCTGTAATCATTTAAAACAATTGTTTCATGACCAAAATGGTTCTCAAACTAAACCAGGAACATTTATTGATCGATGAATTTTGCGATTATAAATGCAGTTTAAAGTTTGTCTGAACGGTTTGGAATTGTGGATTTATTTCCAGATCTGATCGACGAAATATCACATTGCATTCATTATCAGGAAATTGATCGAAACGATAAAGAAGATAAATCGCTGAATCCATTAAACGAATGATGACAAAGCACCATTAGTTCAACTCAATGCCGGGATGGAGAAACAAATAAGCAATGATCTGTCGAAATGAGTGAAGAAAAACTGAAAATATTTCTTAGCTAATCAACTGATTTGTTCATCCGCTAAGAAATGCTTCCAGTTGTCTATTGTTATCACTCAAATTCAGTGAACGACCGACCTTACGACTTTCATTTCACTTAAATTCATTCATTTTTTCACAACTGAAAGTTCATTCACCAAATAGAGGCTACTAACCTTGAGGATGGAGAACGTGAACGTTTCATTCGATATTTATGCGGTAAGTCTTCTCTTCTTCCATGATATCCACTCTCATCCCTTTCTGTATGCTTCTTCTTGTGCCTCTCAGGTTCACTCGTTGACGCATCAACATCCTCAGCTTTATCCGATTCTCTCGTCGCATCCGTCAGCTGCCCGCTTCCAGCCGGGGACAACAGTTGGTGACGATCACTGTCCGGTTGCTCACTATCAGATTGCTCTGATGAAGTTGAATCAGATTCAGAACCACTGTTCGCATCCTTTGACCGTTCGGATTCTAACATCTCATTATTGCCCTTCATTTGTTCTGTACCGTTTTCCTTTCGTCGGCTATTCACTTCATTTTTTCCTTCTTCTTCATCTGACGATGCATTTAAGTTGAACTTCAGTCGAGACTTCCAGCGAGATTCATCTCCATTTTCACTGCAAACAGAAAAGAACGTAAAAATTGCTGAAAATAACATGAACAATAAATATGCGAACTTCTTTCCAGAATAATCTACTTTCGATCAACAAGAATAAAACACCGAACTCACACGGGAAAAAAATGAAACGCGATGAAACGCAAAGTATTAGAACATGATATTTTCGAAACCAGTTGCAAGGTGCTGAGTTCTAAAACAATCTAACTACTTTGCATGGATTGTGACGAATGAAGATAACCGATTCAGAAACTTATCAACTGGATTTATACTAAATGTGGAATGGTACAAAAATGGAGTTACATGAAAGAAACGGCAAACCTTGAATGAAGATTCTGTTTTTGATGCCTTTCAGAAGACTTTCCAGAATGCGAACTGTTCGATGAAGAATTCGATGATGCACGATCACGTTTCGGAGTAGGCATCAGAGCTACTCGTTTCACAACTTCTCAAAGTTACAACAACGTCTGAAATAAAAATGTACTCATAACGAAAGACTATAAAAGCGAACCTGATTGCGAGCGGAAAAAACGAACGCGGTAGAGAATGTTCTTAGAGCTGGTGAATAAATGAAAGAGATTGAAAATATTTCGGAAATGGTAGATGAATGACAAAATAAATAATTGGTGAACGAAGTGTCATTTTCTCCAACTTAACAACGCTCAAATGATTCTTCTTTCCATTCGTTCAAGGTACGTTTCACGACAAAATGTACACATTCTATAAGACTCGTGTGGTCACAGCAAACATTTGGTGTACCACAGAAAGTCTAAATTCGTAGGAAGTGATCGCATGGAGATAGGGGAAAATCGGACTTTTGAAATATTTGCGAGACATCTGAACGATATTCTAGCGCAGATTCAATTAAAAGGATGCATTTCGTTTTTCTTTCTGTTTCCTTCGAATAATTAAGTCATCAATTCAACGATGATGCAGCCAGCTATATGCATAGAATAAGGATACCGACTGTGTGAGACTCGAAATTCTTAT